AACTTCAGCTCCACCACTGAACATGGTAGTTTCATGGGAAAATCCTCCAGATGTCATACCCTTCACACTAGTCCTCTTTTTCTAATCATATAATAAAAAAAATGAAAATAATTAAACTCTTGTCAAACAGTTAGAGTAAAATGTAACTGAAATAGTTAGGAAAAATAGTAATATAATATACTTGAAGGGCATAGTTGGGAAAGCATAACAATTTTAATAGATACATAAAAGACTTTCAAATCATCGATCAGCTGCACTTGTCCATTTGAAATGGACTTTGGTTGGGGATTCTTATCAAACACATGGTATGCGTCCCTATCACTGTTTTTCATCTTCACTTACATCATCGTCTTCATCCTCTAAATGATAAAAAAAAAATAGAAATAGATTTTGGGGAATAACATACCTTATAATCACCAACCTAGAATTCGTTATAGAACATGTCTTCTACCAACAATAGTTGATGGAATTACTATCGGGACCTGGACATTGTGATAGCAAAAACTTAATTAAAAAACAATTTGTGTAAAATTAGGGCAGCAAAATTCCCAAACATTATCTCTTCCTTTAACACACGGAGGCCCATATCAAACATCATCATCAATGTAGAAGAAATAAAATAGGGCAAAAAAGAATCCCGTGAACAAACATGCACAAGAAATAGCATAAATCAACATACCTGAAGTCTTTCATCTAAGGCGTCGCCGGTGGAGAAAAGTTGGACCCGACGACTGGAATTCGAGAACCTGGAGAAACCGAAAACTCATCGAACAAAGATAACGGAGAAGGATACAATGTGAAGGTTGGAATAGCAATATCTACATGGATTATCAATGAAAAAAGCAGAGAAGACGTGAGTTTGAAGAAGCGAAGCACCAACTTGAATTTAGGTTGATGTTCTCTCCAAATCCAGAGGTATTCGATGTTTCACAAATCGGAGTAGATAGAAAGAGTGATGTGGCAAAAGGAGAGGGAAACAGTGGTAGTGAGGAATGATCGAGATGAGAGGAGAAGCAAAGCAGTGGAATAACATCAAATGGGGGTAGTCATCGACGTGAAAGAGAACCCGGATGAATTGAGAAGGAAACGATAAGTGTAATAGGGATGAAGATGGACAAGCGGACGATGGAAATCAGTTTAGGAAGCAGAGGAGAAAAGACTAGAAGGGGAATGAGGAACGGTGCTCTTTGAATGCGATGGCGGTGGGTGGACACCCATCAGAAGATGAAGCAGGACACGTTCCATAAAAAAAATAAGTTTTGGTCGCATATCAAGTCATTATGCCACTAATAACTATGAAATTTAGTGACACAAAAGATTAAATGCCATTAAATGTATTAAATTTTTAATGGCATATAACAAGTGCCACTAAAAACCATGATATAGTGGCACATTAACCATATGCCACTAAAAATGTGTGCCATTATATGTCATTTTATTTGTAGTGACACATACACACACAACCACCCCTACCCCCACAAACTAACACATACACATACACCCTCCACCACCACTACCCCAACACACATACACACACCACTACCATAAATTTCGACCTACCATCACATCCACCACTACCCCCATCACCGCTACAACCACCATCACCACCACCATCGCCACCACAATCACCACCACCACCCTGTTACCACCGCCACGCTGCCGCGACTACCACCACCACTATAATTGTCGCCATCATCGCCACCACCACCACCATCGTCATCATCAACACCCATCTCCGCCACCCCATCACCATCGCCGCCCCCACCACTGCCACTACTGCCACCACCAAATCCACCACCACCCCACCCACTCCCACCTTACCACCATTACCATTTTCTAAAAATAATAATTGATAGAAAAATACACATTTAAATACGTTTTTTAATTTTCTAAAACCGAAAATGAAAAAAAAAAGTTTTAACTAAACGCATATTCTAAATTTTCCAATGAACACTGAAAATAGAAAACACAAACTGAAAACGAAAAATGGAAAATGGAAATGAAAATTGTTTTTCTGTAACTAAACACAACCTTATATTGAATTATTGTTCTATGTGAGATAATGTCATTTTATATATTCTTTTAAATAATTTATTAGTTAGTTTTTACCAAATATTGTTTTTATCAGCTAGCGGATAGTTTTTTAAATAGTCTATATAACATAGTTTTAAAAATCAAATAATTTGAAAGTCTTCCTACTAAAAAAGGGATATTCACCATGATTAATCAAATTTCATAAAAAGATATTACATATCAACCATAATTTTCTTAAAACAATCAAGAGATTTTCTAACATGTGCTCTAAGGACATACATAAGAAACACTAATTAAACTATTAATTATGGAGAATATTACCATTATTAAATATGAAATTTATTAATTATAAAAAATATTCTTCATAATTAGTTTATTTCACATTTAATTATGGTAATATTTCTCATAATTAATAGTTCTTATGTGTGTCCTTATGACGCATATTAGAAAATCTCCATAGTCAAACAACAATGAAATTAGAAAATTTATAATTTACAAAAAGGAATTTGGAACATTGCTTTTTTTGAAAAAGAAGTTCGAAATCTTGATCTCCTTTTGAAAAGGTTCCAAGATCTATATATATAATTCGAAAACTTTGAACATGTTCATAATTTTTTCATTTTTTTCAGTGTTTTAAGTTCAGTTTTAGACTAATTTATACTAACCAAACTTTTTATTTGTTTCAATTTGTTTTTTTATGTATTAAATATAATTGTAATGATATGGTAGAAAAGAAGTAGAAAAAAACAAACCATCTCGTTAGACAAAATGAAAATGTGAAAAGAAGATAGAGATGAAAGAAAAGGTATTGAAAAAGATAAAAAGATTGTTAGAAAATTATAATTTTCGAAAATGATGTTATATATATATGAGAATTTCTTTGTATCATTGTAACTTTTATAATTATATCTATATATATAGATCCGGTAAGAAATTTTTTTTGGTAGGAAGGTAAGAAGTTTGTTTCTTACATATTTTTTTCGCAAACAAACAAAATGAATCACTAGATGATTCATTTGTAAGATTATTCACAAGAAAAAATTCCCAAAAAAACATCTTTATAATTCATTTTTAAGTAAATTAAGAAAAAATTCATTTTTATGACAATT